AGAAAGGGTCCGCCGTCGCTTCGACCTCGCGGTTAGATCGGATCTACACCTCCCTTCCCGCTGCCCTTATCCGTGATCTCACCATCTCCACCGCTGTCGTTGGGAAGCTGAAAGCGGTGATGAGCAGCGACCACCTGCCCGTTCGTTCTACTATCACAAGGTACTCTCCCGACCCCAGGGGCCCCTGCATCCCCGCACGGCTTGCCGAGACCCCTGAGTTCGGACAGGCCCTTGAGGAGGTGATTGCTACCATCCCCGCCGCCTGGGGCGAGTGGGCCCGTCTGGAGTTTGCCAAGTCTATGATGTTTGAAGCTGGCCGATCGGCCCGTCTTGCTCTGCGGCGTCGGCTTGCCCGCACGAGACAGGAGAAGCACTATTGGGCTCTCTCAGCGATGCGTGCCGTGATACGTGGTGACCAAGAGGGGACTCGACTCGCTCTCGAATGTTATCCTCGGCTTCGGACCCACTTCGATGAGCTCGATCGGTGCATTCACTTCGAGGGGTTATCGCAGCATATCTTCTGCATATACAGGCAAATTCTGGAGGAGGAGGAAGGCGATATTAGGAGGAGCTCAGCGGATGCATCGGTGAAAAGGTCGGCGATGGCTCGGTTACGTCGGCGGCGGCTCCTCTGGCAAAAGTTTCGGAAGCGGACGGTCCTGGGGAATATCATCTCGGTGGGCGGAGTCCACGCATCGTCCGACTCGGAGGCCGCCGTTACTCTCGGGGCCTTCTGGGAGCAGCAGTTTGCCGCCCCCACCGTCGATCGCTCCCAGTGGAATTCGATTGCCACCCATATTCGCACCGTTCAGGCCCCGCTTTCGGTCGACTGGTGCCTTCCCTATGCTGTATGGTTTGAGATGGTTCGGACTCGTGGGCACAGCACCCCTGGTCCTGATGGACTACCGTATGCCGTGTGGAAGCAACCGTGTGCGGCTCGTATTTTATACTCGTGCTACCTCACCCTCTTCGATGACCGCATCTCCTCTCTCCCGACTGACATGCTCTGCAGCTTGCTTGTATTTCTTCCTAAAGGTGCCCTACAGGATGACTGCCCAGGCCACCCGCTGCACCGACAGGCGGCTGCCACCATACCCATCTGCCTGGGCAACACGGATGTTAAGATCCTAGCCGCCGCCTGCGTCATGCCCATTGCCGCGAACTCTGCTAGCCTGATAGGGGAGGAACAGAAGTGCGTCAGCGGGAGGGACATGGTTGAGAACGTGGTGAGGGCGGAGGCTTGGGGGGTGGAGAAATACATGACGGCAACTTCAGACGCGGCTTTACTGTTGACTGACTTCGCGTCAGCGTTTCCTAGCCTGGCGCAGGAGTGGCTTTTCTTCGTGCTTGAGGCCATGGGCAGTCCTTCCCCACTCGTCCACTTCTTCCGAATGATGTACTCCGATAACACCGCCATCCTCTCACTTCGTGGTCGTCGTCATGGGCTTATTCGTATCGCGTCTGGGGTCAAACAAGGTTCCCCCGCCTCCATGTTCCTCGTCGTTCTCGCCGTGAACCCTCTGTTGGCATGGATTAGGGCGCCCTCGGCTCAGCGCTGGGGCTGTCTCTTGCATATGCCGATGACTTCGGTTTTGGAGTTGAGCGAATCTCCTCATCACTCAAAGCGCTTCTTGACAGCTTGGAAGCACTGGCGGCGGTTGCCAACCTTCGGCTGAACTTTCGGAAGTGCCAGGTGGTCGTCTGCGGGACTATGGACACATCACCCATCCGCTCCCTCCTCCGCTCCTTTGGCGCGCCCTACAACCTCATTCAAGTCCCCCTCTCCGCCACCTACCCTGGCTTCCCGATCGGCCCCGAGGGCGCCGCGCAGGCATGGCCCCCCATCCTCCCCAGCTTTGTTGCGAGGATTCACCAGACACGTGCATTGGGATTGGGAATTGCTCAGTCCGCGGCTGCCTTTGATGTCATGTGTGTTAGCAAGCTCCTGTTCAGGCTTCAGCTCTACCCGCCCTCCCAGGAGCTGGTGTCCGCCTACCGCAACGGAGTGCCCCTCCTCACCTCGGGGCCCAGGAACGCCATCTCTCACGACGTCGCCACGAAACTTACCCGCATCGGATTCGCCACTGAATTCCTGGAGCTCGACGCGGTCGCGAAAGCCACTGCCCTTCGGTATCTCTTGAGGTCTGGGTGGATCTTTGGGCTTCTGGATTCGCTGGAGGCCTCTCGTTCAGACGTCGAACACATTCCGTATAGGTGGCTTCGTGGGTGGCATGCTGAAGGCCTCTTGGGATATTTGAGGTCGGTCAAAATGTGGTATTGCGGGCTCTCCCTTGACATCCCTTCCTCTTCGAGCAAGTTACAACATCGGCTCTATCGGGCGTTTCGAGAGCTTGAGACCAGCGAGAGCATCGAGTCCATCCTCCTTCGGCGTGCCCACCACGATGGGGAGACATATTCGAGTCTATCAAGGTGAGCGCTCATTCCATTGGTTTCCCTCTTGCCCCCTCCTCGCATTTGACGATGTTGCTGGTCTCCTCCGTCGCGCTTCCTGCATGGAAGCCTTTCTCGCGGCCCTGAACGCCCGTCGAGTTGGGCGCTCTGCCGCTGCTGAACAGGCGTTTGAAGCCCGTCTGCGTGTGCTGGCCCGCCGCCACCCAGCGCTCGCAGACGTTTGGTGCGATGCAAGTGTTTGGGTCACTCGCCGTCTGGCGAGGGAGGGGGCCCCGAGAAGGCGTGCGCTGCCGCCGCGGGTGCACGGCACCCCGCGCGGCAGGTGGGAGCTCCCCTCGGATGGTCAACCCCCCCCTTGCCGCGGCGGAGTGCGGACTGCTCGACCAAGGAGTGTCGACCGCCTTGCGCAGGGATGAAAAATCGGATGGGCGCCCGCCTCCAGCAACTGAAGAGGCGTTGCGCTCGGCTGGCACCCTTCTTTGGGTAGCTCAGTGCTCCGGTAACTTCGTGCCCGACTTTCAGCGCTGCGCCCCTGGCAGCCAGTTGCCGGTTCGTCCGAGGCTGGTCTGCCGGGGGCCGCGGGCGCGCCGGCCTGGCTTCTCTGTAGTTCCGCAGTGCCCCTGCTGGGGGCCGTGCGCGCAGGCCCGGCTTCTCTCCTGCGCAGTGCCCCATTTGGCAGCCAGTTGCCGGTTCGCCCGAGGCTGGTCCGCCGGGGGGCGCGCGCGCGGCTACCCTGGAAATCTTGGATGCGCGCCCGCCTCAAGCAACTGGAAGGATAAAAAAAAGTGTGCGCGTGTGTGCATGTGTGTGTGACAGTTCCCTTGCCGGCCGGCCCGCTCTGCCGCTTGCATGCGCGCCACCCCTTTGCGGGCTGTGCGCCTCTTCACGCCGGGGCTCTAAGCCGTCCTTTTGCACGGCAGAGGGCTTGGGCCTCCAGCCCGCCTCTCATCCACATTGCTGAGCGTAGCCGGCTCGATCGTCCCCGATGTGCAGTGACGTTCCTTCGCGGGCTGAGGAACAAGTGTGTGTGTGTGTGTGTTTCTGCGTTTTAGAGTTTGCTTTTCGTTTCCAGCCGTTATGTGGTGATGGGTCTTCGTGTTGAAGAGACAGCGCCTTGCGTCACTCCTGCTCCTCCTCCTCCTCCTTCTCCTCCTTCTCCTCCTCCTCCTCCTCCTCCTCCTCCTCCTCCTCCCCCTCCCCCTCCCATCGTTGCCTCTGCCCTTCGCATGTTTCATCATTACGATATTCTTGCGCACCCCTTCTGCCTCATCGGGAGTTCATACGAAGCTTCCGATGAGGCAGAAGGGGTACGCAAGCCCGTATGCGTTCGCCCCACCCATTCGGGCACACCCATCACACGCGTCGTGGCCTCATAGGGAGCTCCACCGAAGGTTCCAGTGGCACAGGCCGCATGTGTCCGCCCCCCACACATTTCGGCACATTTTCCACACGTTTCGTGGCCCCACAAAGAAGGCTCTACCGAAGGTCCCAATGGCGCAGCCCGCATGCGTCCGGGCCACCCATGTTGGCACACGGCACACCCCTCACACGTTTCGTGGCACCAAATGGGAGCCCTACTCAAGGCCCCAGTGGCAGCGCCCGCATGGCGCCCCCGCCCCTTTTCGGCACACCCGTCACGCGATTCGTGGCCCCGTAAGGAGCTCCATCGAAGGCGATATCCACAGCGACGGTACTCACAACTGCACATTTGTTTGTCATTCGCAAGGTTTTTTTTTGTGCGAGGGAGGCAGGCAGAGAGAGAGAGAGAGAGAGCGAGAGAACGAGACAACTCTTTGTTTATGTGTTTCTTGCGTGTCTCCGCTTGCTGTTTTTTCGTTGTCCTGGCCTCCTACGTATTCCCCCATCTTCTCCCCGTCCTCATGCTCTTCCTCCTTTTCCGTTTCCTCCTCTTCCCAACGTGACGAGCATGAAAACGCGGGGGACGTAACACAAGTTCAGAACACGTGATCAATCGCAGCAAAGGCAGAAACTGCGTAAACGCATACATCATGCACATGACAGGCTCACCACGCGGCAACACGCGGCAACCGGGTGATAATACCGCAGTTTAGGGTGCATTTTCGCTTTGCACTTTCGGAGCGGAAGAAAAACACGAGGCAAGTAATGACGAAAGGAATGGCATGTCGTTTTACAGTGCAGCCCATAGCGAGCAACCGCCTCAACCTGGCATCCTTGGTGTGTGCCGCGTAGAACGACGTGGGCGGCAGCATGCCTTAGAATACAGCGTCCACCTTCGACTACCGCTGGTTCTTGGTTCACTTCCGCTCACACGTCTTGATTTAGGCAATATGATGCGCGCCTGTGCGCTATCGTCCCTTTATTCGACGCGGTTGCTCCCGCGTCTTGTTACGGGCATGCTTGGTTCCCGCACGCTGACATGATGGAAGTGAAACGCATCACCACCATCGCACCATCAGCACCAGCGGCACCAGACGCTTGCGATGATGGATGGGGAGGTCCAGGCGCAAGGCGGAGGCGGAGGCGGAGGCGGAGGCGGAGGCTGAGGCGGAGGAGGAGGCGGAGGAGCAGGAAACGGAGGGGGTGCAGGCGTAGTCAGCTCCCGGCAGGATCCGTGGCGGTCGCCGCCTGCGCTTGGCCGGTCGCCGCGGCGCTGGCACGGGAGGCCGAGGCCGAGCCCGAGCCGGTCCAGGAGTCAGCACCGTGCAAAACATCCCAAGCCCCGACTGGGGCAGGGTGGCGTGCGTGGCGTGCATGTCCCAGCCTTGCCCCCTTCGGGTGGGGAGTGGGCGCCGCGAGGCCCGAAGAGAGACGGTGCCCATCCCCACCTGGGAGGGGCAGGGCGGCCAACGCCAAGGTTTCGCCGGTGGGGCGGGGGGCATCTGTCCACTCAGAGGAGGAAGATGGAGCCGCCGCGCAGGGCGACGGGGCCCCGGCGCCGTCGCGGGAGGTGGGTGGCGAGATGGGCAAGTTGTTGGCCTCGGGGGGCGTTGCGCTGCTGCTCGAGGCGCTCAGGACGTACGCCCCGCGTCGGCCATCCGGTCAAGACGTGTAGTGGTTCGCCGCTCTCTCACGGTACCCCCTCCCCGCTCCTGATCCTATTCCTCCTTGCTCGTGCTCCTCAGGCTGCCTTTTTCTGCTCTCTGTTTTCCTTCCGCTCCCGCTGCTGCTACTGCCTCCCCTCCTCCTCCTCCGCCTCGTCCTTCCTCCTCCTCCTCCTCCTCCTCGTCCTCCTCGTCCTCCTCCTCCTCCTCCTCCTCCTCGTCCTCCTCCTCTCTCCGTAGCCATTTTGGCTCAAGTTCGAAACGCTTCCCTGGCGCTTTGAGCTTGATCGCTGCCGAAGGGACGGCTCAGAGCGCCCCTCTTGCGAGGACAGGCCTCGCGGCACAGGAGCTTCAGTGCCCGTGCTTTGTGGTTCACCATCTGGCCCTCTGGGCCCTTCACGTTTCCACGCACTTCTTCCGCGGTACTTCTCCTTCATATCTTCGTTTAGCATTTGCTCATGCCAAGCGATGGGGCCTCCGCCTCTCGCATCGAACGTGGAGGGTCGCAGCACCATCGCCGACGCCAACACGACCGACGGGATGAACGCCGCCGTGATCGACGACGGGATCGCTCGTCTTCGCGTTCCAGTGGAGCTCGCAAAGGGATGCTTCTGCCCCACCTCCACGCCGCCACCATCAAGGCACTGCTGGCTCTACTGGTGGCCACCGTGGCCCTGGCGCTGCTCATCCACTGGCTGGCATTCCCCATGACGAACGGGCACGACTCGCTGCAGCCGCTGATCTCGCACCGACGTTCCCTGACCATGAACGACCCCCACCACGAGCTGAGGCCCCACACAGCTGCCCCGATCCTTTTCAAGGTGATGGTGATCCTTGGCGTGAGCAGCGTCCTCAGCCGGCTCCGCACACCACGGTCGAGAGCATCGAGGCCGCGGTCACGGCGGCCTTCCAGCAGCAGTTCGGGGGGATGCGCACCGAGGTCAACACTATCATGGGTACGGCGCGCTCCAACATGCGGGACACGGTGCTGGAGCTCATGCGCCCCCAGGCAGCTCGGTTGGACGGTCATGACCACGACATCAGGCGGCTCCAGGACAAGACCGACATCATGACCAAGGACCAGAAGGTGTTCCGCGACGACCTGGACGCCGTGCAGCGGAGCCTTGCCCATGCCCAAACTGCTCAAAACACTGCCATCGACCTGGCCAGGCTCGCCACCTACGACCGCCCCGCCGACCCGAGCGTCTTCCGCATCAGCTGCTCTCAGCCCACCGCCTTCAGCGTGATCGAGCTGGCCATCGCCGATTGGGTCAAGGACGCGGGCCTGGAGTCCAGTCAATGTGCTCTTCATGGCGATTATCCTGGCAAGCTCTTTCATCTTCATCTCCCAGGTGGCCCTGCTGGCGTCGCCCGAGCCGTTCTTCTCGCGCAACATTTTCAACTTCCAGGTGGCAGCTGGCGACGCTTCACGGCCAAGAGCGTCGCGGGAGCACAGGAGGCCTTGTGCGTCAACTCTGACAAGAGCTCGAAGCAGGTGCGGCGCGAAGTTCCTGGGAAACGTCTGCTCGGCATCTTGCAGCGCACCGACCAGGACAAGGACTGGGAGCTCTTCAGGTCCAGGGGCATCATCAGCACCAACGCGACGCCCATCGTGGAGATTTCGCCTCAGGGAGTGGACGAGCCGACTCGATTGGCATGGTCACCACAGGTGGTGGCAGAGCACAACATTGACTTCCAGGGCGTCAGCGCGCAGTTCAAGCAACAGCTCCAGAGCGTGGACACTCCAGCGTGGATTTTATCCTAACAAAGAGTTCCAGCCCTGGGAGATCAACGGTGGAGATCGGCGCGGTCCACGGGTTGCTTCGTGGAGCGCTCGCGGACTCTGCTGCTTGAGCCACAAGCTGCGACGATAGAAGCTCAACGAGATCAGGCACCTCCTTCAACAGCGACACCTGATTCTGGGCCAAGAAGTACACGGCAACGAGATGACGCTCGCCACGTTATTGGACCAGCTGCCCGTGTAGTACCGTGTCTTCTACGGCGGCTTCCCCGCCGAGTCATGCTGCACCGCGCCCGCAGGGCCCTGCTGCTCCTGCGCTGGCTGACGGCGAGCCTGCCTTGGATGAAGTCGATCACCGCGCTGGTGGAATTGCTATCGCCGTGCCTTGGCGCGCTCCTGCTCATGCACGACAGCTCCCTGCTCACTTTCAGCCACAGCTCTTGCGCATTATTCTCGTCCCTGGACGGATTCACATGCTCGAGGTCACCAGCGGCGACGGCCGCGCGATTAGGGTCATCAGCCACTACAGCTACGGCATCGACTTGACTGCTCGGGCGGTGATCCGTCAGGCTCGGGTGCGGAATCTTGATTGGGCGCGGCAGAACGAGCTGACCAGGCTGGCGACCCATGCCGGCGACTTCAATGTTAGCAACTACACGAATCAATCGCTCCTTTTCCCTCGTCAACGGCAAGCGCGGCGTTCGCAAGATGGCAGGGCCACTCAGTCAGAGCCGCTCTGGAGATCTCTCTTCGACGGTGGCGCGCTGGAGATCAAGAGCCCCCTGCCGACCCACTTCGACAGATCCTCGCGCGCGCCTAACACCATCGATCGCTTCTTCATCTCGCTGAGCCCGCACTGCGCGACGGATTGCGACATCTCGATCAACATCCTGCAGGGGGCCGACAAGTTGAGTGACTTCGCTTTCGGACCACGCCCTCGTCGTCCTGCATCTTCAGCCTCGGCGCCCCCCACCTGCTGAGCTTCAGAGTGTCCCAGCCCACTTGTTTCGCAATGTGAGGTTCAAGGGGGTTCTTCAGACGCGCATTGACTGCGCCGGTTTGGATGTCCTTGATGTGCAGCAGCGGCGGCAGAAAATCAGGGTCATGATGCGCATGGCGGCTGGTCTCACCAGAGATCAACTGCAACGGGGTCTTCCACCTGACGGCGCCCAACCTGCTCGCGGCGCGCGTGGAAGGGGGGGCGAGGCGCATTTCCCAAATCCAGAGTGTCCCCCTTCTCTTAATTACCCAGACCGATGTGGACCAGCTCGAGACGGAGCGCTTGGCGCTTCGCATGGCGGCCCGAGCTTTCTGGCGCCAAGACGCGCGGCTTGCCCATCGTCTTCATGGCCCCTCCGCTCTCGCTCGTCGCCACTTGGCCTTCGCGGACAGCGGCGTCGTCTACGTCGCTCATGGGGGGCCTGCAGGAACCGCACGATGGACTGCGACCAGCGCCGCTCCGACACGAACGGACAGCGCGCAGCTCGCGCTGGACGCCGTCGCCGACAGCAACCACAAGGTGATGGCTCTCCAGCCGGCGTTCCTGAGATGGTCAAGGTACAGGTCGCAATGATGCGGCAGGCGCTGGCGTGGAACCCGACGCAGCGTCGGCCCGTCTTGATTGGCCTCAAGCGCGATCAGCCGGCAGACGGCGCGATCATCAGGGGCCCAACCGACGTGGCCAATGCGATCCGCGAGCACTGGGGGCCCGTCTTCGCAGCTGCCTTTGGCAGCGACCAGGTCATTTCCGAATATCTGGACCAGCGCCTTCCCTCCCTCTCACCACTTGGCCTTCCCCCCCTTCTCCAGAGGACCTTGCCAGAGCTTTGCGCCGTGGACGGGCCTCCCCCCCTGGCCCCGATCGTCTGCCGTGCGCCGCGTGGAAAGCCGTGCCAGTAGCAGCTGAGATCCTCTACCATGTGTTGTTGCGGTTATTTTCAGGCGGGGGCCCTGTCGAAGGTTCGAATCAGTCGAATGTTGTTTTCATCCCGAAAGGTGGAGATCCACAAGATCTCACTGACTGCATCCGCGATGCGGCCTCGCTCAGGCCATTAACCTTCAAGAATGCCGACAGTAAAGCTCTCGCCCAAACCGTCAACATACCCCTGAGTCCAGTAGCCAAAGAAAGTGCCCACTGGGTCCAGCAAGGCTTCATTGGAGGTCGCAATTTTGGGAATCACATCATAAATATCGACGCTGAAACTAGGCTGACCACTTTGGGCGACGATGCCAGTGACCGGCGGCCGCGTTTCGTTTCCTTTGGTTCCCGAGCTGCTTTCCCGAGCATGTCTCAACAATGGCTCCGCGCGGTGCTTCGTAGGTTCGGACCCCCCCAAGGCTACCTCAATGCGCTGGAAGCTCTGTCCGAGGGATCGGTCGGGCATTTAAGCGTGGGTTCACAGCGGGTCCGTCTTTTTGAGATTTCCCGTGGTCTCCCACAGGGATGCCCTCTGTCTGGCACTTTGTGGGCTTTGGGAATGGGCCCTCCGGTCCGCCACCTAGCGCAATCGTGCGGGGCTGCCTCGGAGGCGATGGCCCCAGCTGTGCCCCCTAGGGGGTCGACAGGCGAGCGCATTAGCCAGGTGTTCCCCTGTCCTGCTCTTGCCGCCGCTGCTGGCGCGTGTGCTGACGACGTCGGTGCCCCTCGCCCCTCTCTCTCGCTCCTCCCCCTTATCGAGCCGCCCTTTTCGGGCAGCGGCGGAGTTGGCGATGCTTGCGCTTCGGTCAAAGAAATGCCGCCTGGTTCCCACGTGGGCGATTTTGGACCCAGGGGAGATCGAAGCCCTTTGTGAAACGATTCGTTCGCTCGTGCCCGCGTGGGCGGAGTTCGGCATCTGCAGCTCTTGTCGGCGCCTTGGTCTCATGCTCGGCCCAGGCGCCGCGGAGGAAGATCAATTCCTTGCGAGTGGCCAGAAATGGCGGCCACGCGGCCGCGCGGTGGCGGCGACCCGTGCGCCTGCGGAGGCGTGCCTGCGGCCCTATGGCATCCTCATTCCCCCCTGCCTCTCCAACCTCGACCAGTTCTTCTTTCTCCCTCTGGCCCTTCTCCAGAAAGAGCTGCTCGCGCCGCGCAAACTCTTGCGTCTGCCACCATCTAGTTTCTCTCTCGCGGAGCTGTTGTCTCTCCAGTGGCTACGCGTGCCCGAGCCGCTGCGAGTCATATCGCTGCGATTTGGAGGGCGGCGGGTCGGGCGTTCAGAGGGCGGGGGGGCTGTTGGTCGAAGCTTCGT